GAATCTGATGGAAAATCTGTGGGGTGATGTGAAGAGGGCTGTGCACAGGCGATGCCCTTGCAATCTGCCCACTCTTCCTTGCAAAAACACTAAAAATCTGTCAAATATTGCTTTAGTGCTGTAATAAAATCAAAAGGTGCTTCAACAAAGTATTAGTTTAAGGGCGTGTACACTTATGCAACCATATTATTTTAGTATTTTATTTTTACTTTCCTCCACCTAAAAGATTTCAGTTTGCTGTTCAACTGAGTTAAACAGTTTTATAGGTCACATTATTTATCTTTGTTTTTTATTTTTATATAACACAAATGCACGCATGCACACGCACACACACACACGCACGTATGCACTTGATCCCCTGCTGAATTTGAATGTTTTCCCACTCACAAAGAAATGATCAGTCTAAAAATCGAATTGTAGGCGTATTGTAATACTGAGAGACAGACATGCATTTCTTTTGAATTTTTGGTTGCTATTCTAACAAATTCTGCACTGATTTGCATGTTCATGAGGGAAATAAGTATATGATTCCCTATCATTCAGTGGGATTTCTGGCTACCAGGTGTCTTTCATACAGGTAAGCTAAGATTAGAAGCAGTCTCTTAAAGGGAGTGCTGCTAATAATTTTGTTACCTGTATAAAAGACACCCGTCCACAGGAGCAATCAAATTCCAAACTCTCCACCATGGCAAAGACCAAAGAGCTGTCCAAGCATGTCAGGGACAAGATTGTAGACCTACACAAGGCTGGACTGGGCTACCAAACTATTGCCAAGCAGCTTGGTGAGAAGGTGACACAAGTTGGTGCAATCATTCGCAAATGGAAAAAACACAAAACAACTGCCAGTCTCCCTAGGTCTGGTGCACCATACAAGATCTCACCTCGTGGAGTATCAATGATCATGAGAACAGTGAGGAATCATCCCAGAACTACATCTGAGGATCTTGTCAATGATCTCCAGACAGCTGGGACCACAGAAGCCAAGAAAACAATTGGTAACACACTATGCCGACAAGGATTGAAATCCTGCAGTGCCTGCAAGGTCCCTCTGCTCAAGAAAGCACATGTCCAGGCCTGTCTGAAGTTTGCCACTGAACATCTGAATGATGCAGAGGAGGACTTGTTGAAAGTGTTGTGGCCATGCAAAGCAGTGTGCTTACAGTGAAGCACACAGACACAGCCCCATAGTAAAACACACACAGCACACAGTTAATCCTTTGATCTCCCCAGATGTTAACCCCTTCCTGCCCAGTGCCATTAGTACAGTCAGTGCTTTTTATTAGCACTGATCACTGTATTGGTGTCACTGGGGATGTCAGTGACACCAAGTCAGTTCCCCCAGTGTCAGAATGCCCGCCGTAATCCCGCTATAAGTCGCTGATTGCCGCCACTACTTTTTAAAAAAAATAATAATAATCCCAGTATATATACCGCCATTTGTAAACGCTATAACTTTCACGTAAACCAATTAATTTACTTGTATTGGGATTTTTTTTTTAGCAAAGACATGTAGAAGAATACATTTTGGCCTAAATTTATGACGAAATTAGATTTTTTTTAAAAAAATTTTACTGGACATGTTTTAATAGCAAAAAGTCAAATACAGTAGTTTTTTTTGTGTTTTTTTTTTTTTGTTTTTTTTTCTATAGCGCAAAAAATAAACGCACAGGTGATCAAATACCACCAAAAGAAAGCTCAATTAGTGGGAAAAAAGGAAAAATTGGATGCAGCGTTGCATGACCGCGCAATTGTCAGTTAAAGTAACGCAGCTCCGTAACGCAAACAATGGCCTGGTCAGAAAGGGGGATAAATCTTCAGGAGGGCAAGTGGTTAAAGATATAAATCCAAGAAGGATGCATACACTAGAGGGAACTTCAAGCAGCATTTTACCAAAGTTTAACATGTTTATTAAACAATCCAACCCTGATTGCTGCTTTTTTGTAACTTTATCCTGGATATGTTTTTGTTTTGTTTTGGTTTTTTTCTTTGTTTTTTTTTTTTTTGTTTTTTTTTTTTTTAGCTCTTTGTTTAGATATGACAATTTCCAAAAAGCAACCTTGAGAAACAATTTATTTTAAGAATCTTGGTTACACTTTAACTGCACATACATCAACTTCAATCAGCTATTAATATGACCTCCAAAGGCAGGTAAATGCACCAGAATTAATTAACAGCCTGTACAAAGCACATAGAGAACCATTGTTTTCTATGCGCCCTTGCAGTGACCTGCGTTTATCCAGTGTGGAAAATTGCAGGTCACTGGTCAAAAAAAAAAAAACACAATGTGTTCCCGCTGGGAGATACAGCATACCTGCTATTACTGTTCTGGTGACAGCTTTTCTGTCACTTTCAATAACTACATATAGAATATTTTATACTGACCACATTGCACTATAAGACCACTTTTAAACTGTGTATTTTATAGTCCTGATTTATAATCATGTATACAACGCCACTATACATTATCTATGCTTTAAGTGTGAAGAGAAAGGGTAAGATTAAAATTAAGTTTCTAATTAAATGGGCCCAGAGCAGATGGTTTAATGAAAATGAAAGAAAAAAAAAAAAAGTCGGGGCGAAATATTTTGTTTTCAGTCTGGAGTACCATAACACCCTATACTCCGTTTAATAATGTAGAGAGTAGTGCTGATATTCTTTTATCGGCTACAAAAAATGCATAGTTCTCCATGGGAATGGGTGATCAGCGGCAGGTGGCCGAACCTAGAGTTGGCCTTTAAACGGAAGGATAGAGGTCAGGCCATAGAGGGAAAATTAATTTTTTGCTATCAAATATAACCGATTAATATACAGTAGGATACTCTTTCTACCTAAACTTTATCTTTAAATATACTTGAAATACACTCCCAAATACTCAATTGCATTATAGTAATCCTCCCCCCTCCTTACTCAAAAAGGGTGACTTCTTTTTAACCTTTTATTGTATATTGTCAGTCTGGCTCGCTTCCTCCCTCTGTTCTCGCCTAGGCAAGAATCTTGTCATCTAGGCTCCAGCAGCCTCCTGGGATATCTACAACTGATATCCCAAAAGGCATTGGCCTACAATCTGTAGCTGAGGAAGGTGGACCCGGTGGCACATAATCAGAGGCTGACTGCTTGAACTTGGAAGAGACAGCTGGATTCGCATGACGATGGGTTAGTACAGGGGTGGGCAACTGCGGCCCTCCAGCTGTCATGGAACTACATGTCCCATGAGGCATTGAAAGGCTGACAGTTGCATCATGACTCGCAGAGGCATGATGGGACTTGTAGTTCCACAACAGCTGGAGGGCCACAGTTTGCCCACCCCTGGGTTAGTAGATGGCACAGAACCCCACATGCAATTGCGGATCACGGCGGGACAACGCTGGATTCACTGAGTGGGCGAGTATATGAATTCAAGATATCCCAGGAAACAATATAAGAAGGGGTTAAAAGCTTTATTAACCCCAGGTGGATGAAGTTCCTCTTTTAAGAAAAATAAGCACATATGTAAGTAAAGTAAATGTATTAGGGCTCATTTACACTTCGATTTCAGCACATATTAAAATGACTACCGCTTCACCATACATTTTTTTTTTTTTTTATATGTTTTTAAGGCTTTGATGTTTGGTGATGCTTTTTTGAAGCTTTAATGAAGCTTGGCAGATGTCCTGTGGGTATGTTGATTTTCTCTGTGTTGTAAAGGGGCCCAGTAGAACCCGGCTCAGTAGTACTCCCATTAAGCAGGTCCCAGCTCCTTAGTACCCATGTTCAGCATTGGTACCCTCGTTCAGCAGATCCCCTGCTAAGAAGTACACCCAGCTCTGTTTATGCCCCACTCAATCGTACCCCCAGCTCTGCTGATCTCCCATTCAATAGTAACCAGCAGCTCTGCTGATCCTTCCCTATCTCCAGTCCCCACTTGTCTCCTGCTGTATTGCTCCCATGCTGCCGCCCCACCTGTGACATTGCCAGTTTCTTCTGCTCTAGTCTGCCACCGCTGCTGATCCTCTGCTGCTCAGTCCTCTCTCTCCGTTCCCCACTTGCATTTTCATGTTGCAGACCGTGTGTGCCGTCTCTCCTAGTTGCTCTGCTCTGGTTCGGACCCTGCTCACCTTCATGCTGCTCCATGCTATACACCAAATGTGTGACATCTGCACAAGACACTTCCAGAATATATACATGAACTGGAAGTGACTTCTGATGACGTCTTTCTTATTCGCTTGTTGGTCTCCCAGTGCATCCTGGGATATCATACCTGCAATACCTCCAAAACAAAGCGAAGCTAAAGCGGAATAAAAACCTCTAAAAATCTGCAGGTGCTGTAAGCAAGCTTTGTCATAGACTTCTATGGAGGCTTTGAAGCACCATGAAAGTGACATGGGGCATAATTTGTGAAGCAAAGCAAACACAATGTGAGAACAGAACTGTAATCTAACCATTTGATTTAGTGGCAGGGCTTTGATTGGCATTCAGAGTGCTTTAAAAAAGCATGTCCTGTGTAAACAAGCCCTTAAAGCGGAACTTCACCCAAAAGGGGAATTCCACTCTTTGTCCCTCTCTCCCTCTCCTCCATCAGATTTGGCACACCATTATTTTTTTTTGGGGGGGGTGGGGAGAGTGGGTACCTGTTTTTGACAGGTACCTGCTCTCCCATTTCCTGTTAGATCACCGCAGCGATCTGTGCAGAAGTATGACCCCCTACTTCCTCCACAGCCTTCTGGGACATATCACAGGTCCCAGAAAGCTGCGGGACCAATCAGATTATGCAGCGAGCAGCCAGCTGTGAAGCACCAAGCTGTAACAGACAGATGCCCACAGTATGCCAAAGCCCGGTGGACCCTGGGACAGGTGTGTCTAATTATTAAATCGGCAGCTACAGTTTTTGTACACGCAGGCCTGGAGAACCACTTTAAGGTCATTTGAAGATGGAGTAATAATGTTCTCAATAACTGTGACTTTCATTATTTAGGTTTTCTTATTTAGTGAAATGATCCTCTTTTTTTCTAATGTGGTTACAGGAGGTGGGTTCTACAACGTCTTCTCCAGGAGCACATTTCTCCCTCAGTCCACATCCAAAGAGGGAGCCTCTCATACTCTTACAGAGCAGGTTCAGGGAATTATACAAGAAGAGATGAATGTCTGCGGGGAAGCGGCTGGCAGGTACCCAAGTAACTACAATTCCTGGTCCCATCGTATCTGGGTTCTACAGCACTTGGGAAAGCTAAATATTAAGGTATGGGCAGATAATGCAAACACCTAATATGTAGAGTATTTAATGAATGAGTATTAAAAATTATAGTATAAATGCAATATAAATCATACACATACTTAGCAGAAACATTGGCTACAACTGCATTATCAGTGGATTTGTAACATTTTTAATTGATCAGTGGACTATGTACTAGCATCATATGGCTTGAAGGCTAAAAAAAAAAAAGCATGCCTGCAATTATGTGAAGTAATCTTGTCATAACTCCATGTTTCTTGTCCAATAGGTACACATCTTACACCTGATCTGAGGCATGATTTAACCTGGCATATACAGTGCCTTGAAAAAGTAGTCATACCCCTTGAAATTTTCCACATTTTGTCATGTTACAACCAAAAATGTAAATGTATTTTATTGGGCTTTTATGTGATAGACCAACACAAAGTGGTACATAATTATGAAGTGGAAGGAAAACAAATAGTTTTCCAATTTTTTACAGATATCTGAAAAGTGTGGCGTGCATATTTGTATTCAGCGCCACACTGAGTCAATACTTTGTTGAACCACCTTTCGCTGCAATTAGTCTTTTTTGGAGTAGAGTGACATTTTTGCCCATTCTTCTTTGCAAAATAGTTCAAGCTCTGTCAGATTGGATGGAGCGTGTCTGTGAACAGCAATTTTCAAGTCTTGCCACAGATTCTCAATTGGATTTAGGTCTGGACTTTGACTGGGCCATTCTAATACATGAATATGCTTTGTAGCTCTGGCTGTATGTTTAGGGTCCTGCTAGAAGGTGAACCTCTGCCCCAGCCTCAAGTCTTTTGAAGACTCTTAACAGGTTTTCATCTAAGATTGCCTGTATTTGGCTCCATCCATCTTCCCATCAACTCTGACCAGCTTCTTCCCTCTCCCTGCTGAAGAAAAGCATCCCTACAAATGATGCTGCCACCACCACCATGTTTCACGGTGGGGATGGTGTGTTCAGGGTGATGTGCAGTTTTCCACCACAGCTTTTTGCTTTTAGGCCAAAAAGTTAAATTTTGGTCTCATCTGACCAGAGCACCTTCTTCCACATGTTTGCCGTGTCCCCCTTCTTGCAAACGGGACTTTTTATGGCTTTCTTTCAACAATGGCTTTCTTCTTGTCACTCTTCCATAAAGGCCAGATTTGTGGAGTACACGACTAATAGTTGTCCTGTGGACAGATTCTCCCACCTGATCTGTGGATCTCTGCAGCTCCTCCAGAGTTACCATGGGCCTCTTGGCTGCTTCTCTGATTAATGCTCTCCTTGCCCGGACTGTCAGCTTAGGTGGATGGCCATGTCTTGGTAGGATTGCAGTTGTGTCACACTCTTTCCATTTTCGGGATGGTGTATTGAACAGTGCTCCATGAGATGTTCAAAGCTTGGAATTTTTTTGTTATAACCTAACCCTGCTTTAAAATTCTCCACAACGTTATCCCTGACCTGTCTGGTGTGTTCCTTGGCCTTCATGATGCTGTTTGTTCACTAACGTTCTCTAACAAACCTTATGAGGGCTTCACAGATCAGCTGTATACTGAGAATTAAATTACACACAGGTGAACTCTATTTACTAATTAGGGGACTTCTGGAGGCAATTGGTTCAAATAGATTTTAGTTAGGGGTATCAGAGTAAAAGGGGCTGAATATAAATGCATGCCACACTTTCCAGATATTGATTTGTAAAAAAATTTGAAAACCATTTTAGCATTTTCCTTCCACTTCACAATTATGTGCCATTTTGTGTTCTATCACATAAAATCCCAATAAAATATATTTACATTTTTGGTTGTAACATGACAAAATGTGGAACATTTCAAGGGGTATGAATACTTTTTCAAGGCACTGTATTTTTAGTTTAGTAGGGAAACGTATCTGCTATACAGAACACTATTACGGTTCACATACCTTCTGTATCATGCAATCCCAAATTGTTTTTATAATGCAGATCTATGTTAAAGTGCAACTCTGTTTAAAAATAAATTTGATATTTACAGAAGAGTCCGAGTTATTTGGGTGTTTTTTTTTTTGTTTGTTTTTTTTTTTTTTTGCTCCCTTTTTAGCAAAATATATGGACTTCCTATAGCACTGTTATTTACATTCATGTGTTAAGGTGGTATTATAACCAAAATGGAATATATTGTAGCACATCAATCATTAGATGTGGTTGCTGCATTAGTTTTCCTTTAGTAAGGTTTCTTTCAATCTATTTTCATCTGGTAATCTTGCCATTAATTGAAAGTAAACCTTTTTTTTTTTTTTTTTTTTTTTTTTTCATGTTTTACCTGCAGGTAAGTCTTTAATAAGTCTTACCTATAGGTACTGTAAATATCTCTTAAACGTGCACCATTAAGGAGATATTTACTATGGCAGTGCCGGTGATGTCACCTACGCATACGCACTGTGTTCTCAATGGACGGCGTGCCATCCATTGAGAGAACCATGCCGCAGCTGTCATTGGTGGCTCGGCCAGTGAAACTGCCACTGCCCGCAAACCCGAAAGGCCGGGTGAAGATGGACATCTCAGGGAGCCATGACAGCACTTTGATGGAGGGCTTCGTTTTCAGGAAAGTCTTTCATACTGTGCTAGTATGCGATGCAAACTAGCACATTATGCCCTTAGCCCTTAACATGCAAGGAGAAGTTTTTTGTTTTAGATTTTTTTTTTTTTTTTTTTTTTGGTTTACCACACACCACCTGTATTAGAGTGCCTCCACTTTGGACAAAGGAGCACTCGGCACCTTTAAACAGCAGCATTGCTAATCTGAGGGGAGTGTTAGCAGATTTAACCTCCCTGGTGGTATTCCCGAGTGTAGCTCCCGAGTGTAGCTCGGGGTAAACTTTCAGTATCAAGAGTGGTAACCCTGAGCTACACTCGGGATTACCCTGCAGCGTTGCTCCAGGATCCCTGTTTCACTTACCTTGTCCTGCGCTCCCGCAATGTCCACCCTGCAGTGTCCCTGGCAATGTCCTCCGGCTGATGCCGGCATCTGTCTTCCGGGTTCCATTTCCTGCGAGCGTCGGGACGTACGGGGGATGGAACAGCGGGAAATTCAAAAATTTATAAAAGTGACATTCACTCAATACACTAAAATCTCATAGTATAACATTACTGTATCAAACCATTTCACATACATTTTGTCCCGAGTGCTTTGTCCTGTGCCCTGCCTGCATTTTTACTGTTCTTTCTGCCTGGAAACTGAGAAATGTCCATGGCGTCCAAAAAGCGTCCCTTTAGGTCAAAAGTGGTTTTAGACCAGCTAGAGAACAGCGATAGTAAATTAGAACCACTTGCAGAATTGAGTGATGATGATTCGTGGGGAAATTTGTTAATCAGAAACTGAAAACAATTTTTGCAACTGAGCTCAGTGATGCGCGAACTTGGCGTTTTTTATATTTCAAATTTGTGTTTTTGGTTTGATTACATTATTGAATATATTATTATATTGTTTTTTGATTATATATATTATAATTTATGATTTCGTGTTTCAAATTTTATCATACTCAGGATGTTTACTAGACTCTTATTCAGACAGATTTCAGTGAGTTATTCCTAAGAATTACAGGCCTACAATAAAAAAAAACGACATATTTCCATGCAAAAAAAGTAGCTTTGAGCATAGAAATATTGACATAATCATACTGCTAGGGAGGTAAAGCAGCCTGTACGTGAGTCATCTTTTTTGTTTTTTTCCCGCTCACCCAAAGGGTTGAACAAAAAAATTACTCAATTCAACACATTGGAGGAGGGTGGAGGAATGCTCCCCACTTTTGTTGTGATCTTTGAGAATTAACAACTTTAAAGCAGCTAGAGAGGTCAATGAGGGCTTGTTTTAAAACTGTTGTACTGCCTAAAAATATGCAATTAGTTTCATGCCCATAGTCATCACATGCACTTTTAAGTATACTGCTGATTAGTTTGATTTAGTTTAAAAATTATTTGCAAGAAATTAAATCTTAAGTTACATTTTGCGCTAAGGTAGTTTGCACAGCAGCTGCATATAGTTGTAGCAATAGGTTTTCCCTGTTGATGTGGTGATCCAGTTTCCAATGGATAGTGTTAAACTGAGCTGACACATTATTTTTTTTCTCTTTGTATTAGCTTGCAGTTCTAAGGAAATGCTAACTCACTTCTCTTTGCCCCGGGGAATTGAAATTGTCTTCTATTAAAACATTTCTTCTCATACTGTTGCAAATCTCTCGGGATCTTTGAAGGTTCACTATCTAACAGATAAAACAGATTAGCAATATTCTATAGGAAAAAGAGGAAAAAAATGTTTGTTGCGTAGAGATGAAAGCGGTGCGAATTGTTTCAGTTTTTCTCCCTTTGGGAAACTTGTCTAGGATCAGAGACATGGCACATTTTATTCTGAAAATCCCACTGGAGTTTTCACAGTGGCACAGGTTAGTTTCGGATATATTTTTGATGTACTATCATACAATGATGTTGAGACTTTTTATTTATGTATTTATTTTTTATTGTTTGCAACCCTAAGTACCTGCTTTTCATTTCATTACTGAAAGACACATTCCAGTAGGTCTCATTAGTTAGACAGCATTCCTGGAAGCCCAGGATGAAGTTTTTGGAATTCGTTCAATCTGATATATGTATTATGGTTCCTCCAGATTTTTCCTCATTTGCCCCACAGGGTTAGCATGGAGGACATTCCAGTGTTTATCATACTGAAAAAAATGCAGGATAACTTGGTACTTGGACATACACAGTTCTTCTGTTTTCAAGCGCCAGTTTTCCATCCTGCTTCTCCAGTGGTGGCTTTAATGGGATGGCTGTTGAACCCAAAGTCTTGAGAGACAAGGGCCTATTGGACATCTTGCAAAGTCTGCGATCGCACTTGGATGGCCTGTGTTGCTTGGTGCAAGACAAGGAACTTTCATCTTCATAAGTACTCCTGTGGGTTGTATTCTGTCCTCCTTCCAGTCTAATCTGGACCAGCCAATGGTTTTGAGTAGCAAAAAGAACAGTCCAGCCTTGGCTATTGTTTGAAACCCTTGACCCGTCACTCTTTAGCGAAGGCGTTTCTTCAGGGTGGTTAGCACATCTCTCTTCCTGTACGCTCTCCTGTGTCTCCTTTTGTACCTTAATTTAGTTCTTTTGGCTCTTTAGAAGCCCCCTTTTTAAATCTATTAGGTATGTTCATTTGTCTGACCTCACTCAGAAGGTGGTCTTTCTTGTTGCTATCAACTATGTGCAGAGAAGAGAACCAGAGTATTGTCCTTTCTACGTCTTGCTCCAAGGCATTCCAAGGAAATGTATCTCTATGGCCCTGAGGCTGTAATGCAGGCTGTAGACGGGCCATTTATCGGCCAAATTTTCGTCCGCACGAAAAATCGGCCGATAATCAGCCCGTCGGCCATTTTTTGCGGATCTCCTCATTTTCATCGGTCATGCTGGAAAATCCGCAAAAACCATGGGTGGCAGCATTGGCAACGGGGTCGACCGATTTTTCATTTATCGGTCGAAAATTCGACCTATAAACGGCCCGTCTATGGCCTGCCTAAGTGTCTCTCAGCTCCTGCCTTTTTTTTTTTTTTTAAGATTAGATTCACTCTTTGTACTTCCTGAGGGTCCCCCCTCTCCGCGCTTCTCGCTCCACCATTGCTAGGTGGATCAGACAAGTTATCGTTCAAGCTTATGGTTTAAATGAAAGGGTTCTTCCCTTCCCTTTTTAATGTGCACTCTATCAGATCAGGCATCTCTTATCAGATTTGCAAAGCTGCTGCCTGGTCTTCCCTTGTTTGTTTTACAAGGTCTACCATATGTTAAGGTCTATGTTTTTAGATCTCCTCTGATGCCAGTTTCCGGGCCTAAGATGCTACAAGTTGCCCTTTGAGTCTGTCGAGCTTCTTGACCTGGATGTTTTGTGGGCCTGTTGGGGTTTGTTTGCTGTGTTGCTAACCTCTTAGTTGGATTGCTTTTTGGCTTCCCATGGTAAAGACTAAGGATCCTGTACTGTAGGACTAAGTAAATAGGATTTTTGGCTTACCAGCAAAATCTGATCCCTAGAAAATAGTAGGGAATACTGGTTCTTCCCCTGTGTTCTAGCTGGTTGCGGGAGGGGTTAGATTGTAGATGTCCCTGCAGCCTTTTCTTTTTTTTTTTTTTTTGCCAGTGTTCAATCACCTGAAGGTAGCTGCATACAACTTATGGTATATACTAATGATCCCATGTTCAGTACTGTACTCCCAAGAATTTACTGGTGAGTAATGCAAAACTTTATGTGCATGCAGTAATGCACAGCAGTACAATGGACAGATGTGACTGAATAAACACTAAGCCAATTACATTCACTTGCATATCTACAGTAGATAGAACTGTGTATATTTCTATGCTTGTAGGGTAAATATGTTTACTGTATACTGTACTTTACACTCCAATGTTTATTTTTTAAGATTTATTGGACAATATTTTTTCTGACTCTTTCTTTTTAAACTGTATATTAAATAAAAGATAATGTATATCTAGTTCAGATGTAAAAAAAAAATGCATAGGACTCAAAAGATGCAGCTTATTTACTGCAGTTAAATGTGGTTTATATTGTAGTCTTTTGTTGTCTGCAATTTCAAGATCTAGAATAGAAGTCAGTGTGTGTTTGCATCCTCCTAATTGTTCTCAGCATGTGCCTGAATTAGACAACTATTTTGATATTCTTTTTGCAATGGAATCCTATATTTATCTCCCATAATTATGTGTCTGTAATAAGATAAACAATAATTGCATTTCATGTTTTTTTTTTTTTTTTTTTTTTTTTTTTTCCAGCTTCTCATAGATGAGTTGTCTTCCACCAAACAATGGGTCTCCATGCATGTTTCCGACCACAGTGGGTTCCATTACCGTCAGTTTTTGCTCAAGTCTTTGCTAGCTAAAGCACAAACAGACTCTGATAATTCAGCTGTGTCAGTGAGTCCCTGTCTTCCCAAAGAAGAAGAGAACCCACGACTTGATGTTCCCCTTTTGATAGAAGAAGAGATGGAATTGAGCAGAGATCTGATTGAATCCTACCCAGGGCATGAAGCACTTTGGTGCCACAGGTGAGGTTTTTTTGTTGTTGCGTTTTTTACTTTTGTATACAGGCAAAGTTTAACTTAGAATGATTCAGTCCTTTCAGTCACACTAAAGGCACTCCTGTGTTTTAAAGGGATAGTTCACCTTTACAAAAAAGCTGCCTATGCTTCATGAATTACCTAAATGATCTACACCTATAGCCAGTACATCATGCAACTATAGTAAGAGACACACAGTTTATTATCCGCAGGCACCCCTTCTTTGCATAAGCAAGTTTCTGGTAAAGGTGAACTAACATGCAGGCGAAGTGATTTGAGTAGTATGAACAACTTCTATGCCTCCCAGATCACTTTTTCCTGCTTTAAGACCACTTGTTTATGGGGCTGGCCAGCTGCATTGCCTCCCTCGTGGCATTTTAGCATGCCCAGGTGGAATAGGTGCAGAATCCAGTCCCACTGTAGGCAGCTTGTCAAGGTCTATGGCAGGCTGCAGCTGAATAGGTCTGAATGTTGTACCGGTTGGTATCAACAATTGGGGATCTATGTATTCAGGAACGTATGTATTCAGGAACGAAGGTCCAGACTGCATGTTTAGATGTGTTTTGTCACGTTTACGCGCTTTTACACAGGATTTTATTTGCATTTTATAGTGTCTAATCAGATGCCTAGAATTCTATTTTTTCATAAACTCATAGCTTGAATGGCACCCTTGAATATTATTACCTGTAATTATATGTATTTAAAAATGTCCTCTAAAAACACAGATGCGGGTTTTACACGGCCAGTGTAAAGGAGGATGTGTATATATGTATATGTGTATGTATGTGTGTGTTGTGTGTGTGTATGTATGTATATATGTGTATGTATATATATATATATGTATGTGTATGTATATATATATATATATATATATATGTGTGTGTGTGTGTGTGTGTGTGTGTGTGTGTGTGTGTGTGTGTGTGTGTGTATATATATATATATATATATATATATATATATATATATATATACACACACACACACACAGTGGGGCAAAAAAGTATTTAGTCAGCCACCAATTGTGCAAGTTCTCCCACTTAAAAAGATGAGAGAGGCCTGTAATTGGCATCATAGGTAGACCTCAACTATGAGAGACAAAATCCAGACAATCACATTGGCTGATTTGGAAAGAATTTATTTGCAAATTATGGTGGAAAATAAGTATTTGGTCAATATCAAAACTTCATCTCAATACTTTGTTATATATCCTTTGTTGGCAATGACAGAGGTCAAACGTTTCCTGTAAGTCTTCACAAGGTTGGCGCACACTGTTGCTGGTATGTTGGCCCATTCCTCCATGCAGATCTCTAGAGCAGTGATGTTTTGGGGCTGTTGCTGGGCAACACAGACTTTCAACTCCCTCCAAAGGTTTTCTATGGGGTTGAGATCTGGAGACTGGCTAGGCCACTCCAGGACCTTTGAAATGCTTCTTACGAAGCCACTCCTTTGTTGCCCGGCGGTATGTTTGGGATCATTGTCATGTTGGAAGACCCAGCCACGTTTCATCTTCAATGCCCTTGCTGATGGAAGGAGGTTTGCACTCAAAATCTCATGATACATGGCCCCATTCATTCTGTCATGTACATGGATCAGTCGTCCTGGTCCCTTTGCAGAGAAACAGCCCCAAAGCATGATGTTGCCACCCCCATGCTTCACAGTAGGTATGGTGTTCTTTGGATGCAACTCAGCATTCTCTCTCCTCCAAACACGACGAGTTGTGTTTCTACCAAACAGTTCAATTTTGGTTTCATCTGACCATATGACATTCTCCCAATCCTCTTCTGGATCATCCATATGCTCTCTAGCAAACTTCAGACGAGCCCGGACATGTACTGGCTTAAGCAGGGGGACACGTCTGGCACTGCAGGATCTGAGTCCCTGGTGGCGTAGTGTGTTACTGATGGTAGCCTTTGTTACGTTGGTCCCAGCTCTCTGCAGGTCATTCACTAGGTCCCCCCGTGTGGTCCTGGGATTTTTGCTCACCGTTCTTGTGATCATTTTGACCCCACGGGGTGAGATCTTGCGTGGAGCCCCACATTGAGGGAGATTATCAGTGGTCTTGTAGGTCTTCCATTTTCTAATTATTGCTCCCACAGTTGATTTGTTCACGCCAAGCTGCTTGCCTATTGCAGATTCAGTCTTCCCAGCCTGGTACAGGTCTACAATTTTGTTTCTGGTGTCCTTCGACAGCTCTTTGGTCTTCACCATAGTGGAGTTTGGAGTGTGACTGTTTGTTTGAGGTTGTGGACAGGTGTCTTTTTTTATACTGATAACAAGTTCAAACAGGTGCCATTGATACAGGTAATGAGTGCAGGACAGAGGGAGCCTCTTAAAGAAGAAGGTACAGGTCTGTGAGAGCCAGAAATCTTGCTTGTTTGTAGGTGACCAAATACTTATTTTCCACCATAATTTTCAAATAAATTCTTTCCAAATCGGCCAATGTAAATGTCTGGATTTTTTTTCTCATTTTGTCTCCCATAGTTGAGGTCTACCTATGATGCCAATTACAGGCCTCTCATCTTTTTAAGTGGGAGAACTTGCACAATTGGTGGCTGACTAAATACTTTTTTGCATGTGTATATATATATATGTATATATATATATATATATATATATATATATATATATATATATATTTATATTTATTTATTTACACACCCCTCAGCATAAATGAGTACACCCCAGCAGATTTGTCAGAAAACCTTTACTTTTCTTTCAGAATCAACGTGTGTGTGTGTGTTATCTCCCAGAAGTGAGTACGCCCCTCACACATTTTCGTACATATTTGATTCTATCTTTTCATGTGACAACACTGAAGAAATGACACTTTGCTACAATGTAAAGTAGTGAGTGTACAGCTTGTATAACATGTAAATTTGCTGTCCCCTCAAAATAACTCAACACACAGCCATTAATGTCTAAACCGCTGGCAACAAAAGTGAGTACACCCCTAAGTGAAAATGTCCAAATTGGGCCCAATTAGCCATTTTCCCTCCCCGGTGTCATGTGACTTGTTAGTGTTACAAGGTCTCAGGTGTGAATAGAGAGCAGGTGTGTTAACCACTTGCCCTCCTGAGGATTCCCCCCCCCCCCCCCCCCTTTCCTGACCAGGCAGTTTTTTGCGTTACGGTGCTGCATTACTTTAACTGACAATTGCACGGTCAGGCAACACTGCACCCAAATTAAATTTGTCTTTTTTTTTTTTTTTTTTTTTTTCCCCCACGAATTGAGCTTTCTTTTAGTATTTGATCGCCTGTGTGGTTATTCGTTTTATTTTGTTATTTTTTTTTTTGTGCTATAAAAGAAAAAGATTCAACAATTTCGAGAAAAAAAAATACACTATTTCGGACTTTTTAATAATTTTTTTTTTTTTGCTATTTTGTAAACAAAACGGTCTTCTTTCCCGTCGGAGATGCTCGGTAATCACTGGTGCCGGCGGGTAATTACCAGCCAGGACCTGATGATTAACAGCCGTGGCTGTGCCCCCTACCCGGAAATGCAAAATCATGTATATATACATGATTTTGCGCACCCCTGCGGCCCTGTAGCAGTATATCTGCTATAGGGCGGCAGGGAAGAGGTTAAATTTGGTGTTATTGCGCTCTCTCTCTCTCTCTCTCATACTCTTCACTGGAAGTTCAACATGGCACCTCATGGCAAATAACTCTGAGGATCTGAGAAAAAGAATTGTTGCTCTACATAAAGATGGCCTAGGTTATAAGAAGATTGCCAAGACCCTGAAACTGAGCTGCAGCACAGTGGCCAAGACCATACAGCGGTTTAACAGGACAGGTTCCACTTAGAACAGGCCTTGCCATGGTCGACCAAAGAAGTTGAGTGCACGTGCTCAGTGTCATATCCAGAGGTTGTCTTTGGGAAACAGACGTATGAGTGCTGCCAGCATTGCTGCAGAGGTTGCAGGGGGGTCAGCCTGTCAGTGCTCAGACCATATGCTGCACACTGCATCAAATTGGCCTGCATGGCTGTCATTCCAGAAGGAATCCTCTTTTTAAAAGATGATGCACAAGAAAGGCCACAAACAGTTTGCTGAAGACAAGCAGACTAAGGACATGGATTACTGGAGCCATGTCCTGTGGTCAGATGAGACCAAGATAAACCTATTTGGTTCAGTTTGTCAAGCGTGTGTGGTGGCAACCAGGTGAGGAGTACAAAGACAAGTGTGTCTTGCCTACAGTCAAGCATGGTGGTGGGAGTGTCATGGTCTGGGGCTGTATGAGTGCTGCTGGCACTGGGGAGCTACAGTTCATTGAGGGAACCATGAATGCTAACATGTACTGTGACATACTGAAGCAGAGCATGATCCCCTCCCTTCGGAGACTAGGCCGCAGGGCAGTATTCCAACATAACGACCCCAAACACACCTCTAAGATGACCACTGCCTTGTTAAAGAAGCTGAGGGTAAAGGTGATGGACTGGCCAAGCATGTCTCCAGACCTAAACCCTATTGAGCATCTGTGGGGCATTCTCAAACGGAAGGTGGAGGAGCGCAAGGTCTCTAACATCCACCACCTCCGTGATGTCATCATGGAGGAGTGGAAGAGGACACCAATGGTAACCTGTGAAGCTCTGGTGAACTCCATGCCCAAGAGGGTTAAGGCAGTGCTGGAAAATAATGGTGGCCACACAAAATATTGACACTTTAGGCCCAATTTGGACATTTTCACTTAGGGGTGTACGCACTTTTGTTGCCAGCGGTTTAGACATTAATGGCTGTGTTTTGAGTTATTTTGAGGGGACAGCAAATTTACACTGTTATACAAGCTGTACACTCACTACTGTACATTGTAGCAAAGTGTCATTTCTTCAGTGTTGTCACATGAAAAGATAGAATCAAATATGTACAAAAATGTGAGGGATGTACTCACTTCTGGGAGATGGTGTGTGAGATATTTATGTATAATTTTATTTATTTTTTTACTAATTCGCATAGATTAATAGATAAGACTCCATGCTATTACAAGTGAAAA